CACGTAGAAAAGAACTAATGTTGACTACTCATTCAGAGCGGCAGTGAGTATATGGCAGGACAGCTTCAGGCTTATGGCCATCTCGGACTCTCCTCAGAGAGCTGATCTTTGGCTGATCAACACGTAAGTTCAGTATCAGAAGGAAGAATCTTAAGCTGGATCAATTGTTGCTGCTGTTTTATTCGCAGGTGTACTGTGAAAGCTCCGACAATGGAAACACTGATACGTAAAGGCAAAGCAGCCTCTATTCCCTTGGTGGATAGCTGGATGCGTTCCTCAGGGTTTAAAAGATCTCGAAGCTGTCAGCGTCATCGGAGTGCAGCAAATACAGCGGGGGAGACTTTGAAAGGCCACGAGGCCCGGCTGCTTCGACGGGATGCTTTGCCGTCTCTTGATTTGCCAAAAGTTTATAATCTCTTTTGCTGTTGTGTTTTCAGGTTCGTAAGAACAAGTTTGTCGAGATCATTCCTATCAACGTTGGCTGCTTGGGTGCTTGCACATACTGCAAGACGAAGCATGCTCGCGGGCATCTTGGCAGCTACACAGTAGACACACTAGTAAGGACCTTCGCCAGTTTCTTTTCTCTGTTACTGAGCTTTATCTACAGGTGCAAAGATTGAAAACCGTGGTGTCTGAAGGTGTGAAGGAGATATGGCGACACTGGAGCTTACGGTTATGGTTATCTGTTTCAAGCTAGCATTTTTTATTTACTTTTTTCTTTCTTTGCACTACAGGACGAGACATTGGAGCAAATATACCAGCGCTTCTACGTGCTTTAGTTGCCGCGCTTCCTCATAGACAGAAGTACAATGCTCCGAATCTACATCTTACAGCATCTGGAGGAAATGGCTGTCACCCCTGCGTGTATTCGTTCCTTCATGTTCTGGTTCAATCTGGAAGGGACTCGGTGTTGGAGGTACCGATGTTCTGGGTGATTGTTTTGTCTCTGTAAGCTGTTTTCTGTGTTCTTCAGGGCATGAAGAGGGAGTACACGTTTTCCGAGTTTAGAAAAATTGTGGATACTCTCACAAGACTAGTCCCGGAGATTCATATCGCTACAGATATTATCTGTGGATTTCCAGGTACACTCGCATGCATGAAAAAGATTGTATCTTATTGAGCTTTTATCCTTGTCAGGAGAAACATCAGAGGATTTTGACAGGATCATGGAACTAATACGAGAGTACACGTTCCCACAGGTCCACATATCACAGTTTTACCCTCGACCAGGTAGGTAATCTCTGTACATGCTACTGAATGGTTCTCTCTGTCACTAGTGTTTATCCTGTCAATATCCTTAGACAGGAACACCGGCGGCTCTAATGAAACGGGTTCCAACGCTCGAAGTGAAGAAACGAAGCCGTTCCTTGACAAGTCTGTTCGAATCATTCACTCCTTACGCAGGAATGGAGGTAAAACGTACCAAGTCTGGGTCACCAACACTGCTGCTGATGGAATTCATCTGGTATTCTTTCTTTTGTTCTACGTCTCTGCAGGTTGGCCTGAGCTGTACCGGGCCTTCTTGGAAGCAAGTTAATGTGAAGATTACGTCTGTCGGAATATGGTCTGTGACTGGCGAGTGGCGAACCAGATTCCACTCCTGGAGACGATGCTGAGAAAGTCGGATGCGAGCAGCGGTAAGGAATGCGATCCTCGGGGAGTTCCTGAGAAAGAGATCCCGAGTCCGGGCATCACATTTTCGTTTGTTGAAATTCACCAGGATCAGACTTATCTTCATCAAGACAAGTTTGCAAGCACTGGTACGCTCTGTGTTCATCAGACTGTCTGTGGGAGAAATTCGTCGGCTCAGGTCAAGCCAACTTACCAAGGTACGTGCCTCCTGACTATACTATTTTCTGGAAATTTTGTTTTCCTTGCTTAAACGTTGAATTTTGCAGATGGCTGGTGCATAAGCACAGCACGCTACTGTTGTCTCGAAGCACTCGCGTTTTATATTTCACGAACAGATACACGTTTCTGATTCAAGCCTTGGATGCATGGTGGGAATACGGGATTTACAGCTCTTCTAAGCTGTGTCCTCTTATATGAGAGCTTACGACTTCTGCCAAAGCTTCACGGCAGATTGAATCTGTACGACCTGGAAGGTGTGTGTTTGGATGACGGAGTCACTGAGATGAAAATCTGGAAGGTGCTGCGTGACCTCTGACAGCGTTATATCTCATGGGTGAAAGTTTGCCTTCACTGCTCGGACCTGAATTATGCAGTCCGACTCAAGAGAGTCCGGTAAGTGGCATTCCCGCTGGCTGTTGGATCCTCCACCGTTGGATCGTACAGATCTAACAGCTCAAACGCTCAGCCTTTGAGTTGCCAGAAATTTCTAAGTCCTAGCACTTGGTTTTTGGCAATGGAGAGGAAGGTAAGTGAGCATGGCAGCTATTTCGCAATGACAGCAGGGAATCTGGGATTCTTTTGATCCAAAAAGGAAGGAAGTAGTGGATATGGCTATAGGATGATTTTTCTGGAACGAGCACATACCATTTGTGAAAGCTCATTCTCACCATTTCAAGGAGATGGTGCAGTAGATTGCAAGGCATGGAATTCCCTACGATCTTCCAACAGAGAGCATTGCGAGAGCAATTGTTGCAAGTGGAGAAAGCCAATCTTGAAGTTCAACTTGCCAAGGTGAAGGCACGTTGGAAGAATTGTGGGGTTACTCTTGTTGCTGATGCATGGAATGACACAAGAAATCGACATATCATGGGGGCTTGTTGCATACAGCAGAGGATAGTCGACTTTTCTCAAGGCCATTGATATATCTTCTAGTGGGAAGACGGCTGATAACGTTTTTGCAACATGGGAGCGAGGTATCGAGATTGTTGGAGAGGAGAATGTTGTTCTTATTGTCACGGATGGTGAGGCTTCAAACAAGGCTGCTGCTAGGCTTCTAGAGGTGAGGAAGCCAAAGATTATGTGGGCTCCATGTTTAGCTCATTGTTTGAACAACATTCTCAAGGATTTCGCAAAACTACCATGGATGGTTGGGCTGCTAGACAAGGGAAAGACTTTGGTTGGCTTCCTCCGGAACTAGTAACGATTTTGGCATCCTTCTCTTCACGACAAGTGTTGAAGTTCAGCAAAACACGATTCACCTTCAACTTTCTTATGATGGAGAGATTGGTGGAGCTGAGGCCAAAGCTACAACAAATGTTTGTGAGCAACACTTACAATGCAAGGCTAGAGTCAAGGACAGGTTTTGGGATAGCATGCCGAGGAATTGTGTTCAACGATACATACTGGAACGAGGTTAACCACATGCTGGGTGTTTCAAGGAGGGTGATGTATTTGCTACAGATGGTTGACGGAGACGTGCCTGTGATTGGGAAGGTCTACGAGGGGATGGATCAGATGAGCGAGAACATCTGTCAACAAGAGGAGAACAATCTTAGGTATGAGGAGCTAAACCAACTGATTTCAAACAGGTGGTGGGCTTATCATAGCACCTTTCACTCCATGGCATACATGCTTGATCCAGAGTTTCAGGGGTGAGGACAGGAAAAATCCAGAGAAGTTTCCAAAGATTGGAACATGTACTTGGAGATCCAATTCCCTGACTATCAGCAAAGGTCAACTATAAAAAATCAGCTTTGCCAATACAGGAACTTGGAGGGTAGTTTTGGCACCGGGGACTCTCAGATGGATCGTACAACAAAGGGTTCTGTGCAGTGGTGGGAGGACAATGGCTACTCAGGTCCAGATTTGCAGAGGTTGGCAATTCAAGTGCTTAGTCAGGCAAGTTCTTCCTCATCTGTGAAGCGATTGTTCAACATTTTTGGGCACATCACTTCAAAGAAGAGGAATTGCTTAGCAGTGAGCCGGATTGCAGACTTGGTATTTGTGGCCAGTAATACCAAGTTGATAGGGAGCCACACTTCCTATGACAAGTTTGTGGGATTGAGTTAGATAGGAAGTATTCCTCAAATTACTGATGCTGATATTGAAGCTATGGAAGAAGAGGACGAAGACGAAGATGATGATCCTGCTAATGAGGAGCTTCTAGATGAGATGGAGTGATAAGTAGAATATTCTAGAGAATATTCGTGTTTTCACCCGTGTTTATCCGTGTTCATTTCCATGTTCCGTGTTCGTGTTCAAAAAATTGAATGCCGTGTTCGTGTTCGTGTTCGTGTTTTGAAGCTATGCCAGCAGCACCACCCGAGGCAGCAACCACCAAGGGATCTCCAAAAATGCTAAGGGGATTGCTCCCTGCTGTTGAGAGCACCCGCACCACCCAGACATCACCACAAAGCTGCTATGATCCACCAGAATCTGCCGTGGGAGACACAATTGCAACTGCAATTGCAAATGCCCGCCTCTGCTTCTCCAGCATCCTCTCCACCGTCAGATCTCCCGATCCAACGGTCCACGTGGTCCAAGCCTGAATTGTACTTAGATTTTTTCTGGGCTATGGAGGAGAAAGATGCAAGGAGCAGTCACGACAGGGCATTCTGTCTTGACCACGCCACACCATCAAGCCAACAGCAAGCCAGGACAACTCCAAGCATGGTTCTGGATTCAGAGAAACCAGCCATGCTGCCCCTCTCTCCCCTCGCCAGGGTCTGGCACAGCAAGTCTCTAAGCCAGGCATTTGCGTTGGCCCCTGTGTGCCGCACCTCGCTGCCACAGTGCCACAAAAAATCCCTGCCTGGAGATGCTCACTGCCACTAAGAGTCCGGGAACTAGCCTGGCTTCTCAACACAACAATCTCTCAAAGGCTTTTTGCCCCCTTTTGGTCCAGTGCCTTGGCACCACCAAGAGATCATAAAAATGCCAAGGGAGCTGCTCCCTGCCACACAGAGCGCCCACACCACCCAGAAATGCTGTCACCATGGGAGAAGCCTTTGCAACAGCAACAGCCATTGCAAAGGCCCACTCATGCTTCCCTCTCCTCTCTCCTCCACCGTCAGATCCCACAGATCCAACGGCTCAAACGCGCAGCCTTTGAGTTGCCAATAACTTCTATAGCACTTAGTTTTTTGGCAATGGTAGAGGAAGCTACAGGAGCATGGCCATTGCGTCTTGAGCACGCCATGGCCCATGCCACCATAGCCAGCTGCTCCAGCAGTAGCAGCTGCCGACGTAGGCAGCACCAGCCATCGCAACAGCTTGCAGCCTGCGAGCACCAGCAGCTACTGCATTGTGGGAGTGATTGAGGCAAGGAAGAGGGACGTCACCAGCTTCACCGGTCCTCCACTTGCTTCACCGGAGTGACTATGGCAAAGGATGAGCTTTTTTTCTCCTCTTTTCTCTCTCACGGCTTGGTTTTCACTCTTTTTCTCGTTTCGACTTCATGGCTAGCACAATCTTATTCACTTATGCAATAAACATGCATGCAAAGGAGATTAGTGTCGAGAAACTAGGCTAGAGGAGGTGGGTGGGCTTTTTTTCTTGGTGTGAGGCCTCACACTAATGTTTTTGTGTGCCATCTATTTGTAGATTGGATTAAGGTATTATGGAGGGATGAAGTCATTTTCTTGGCATGAGGCCTCATGCTATTCATTTATATGCATTTGTTTCTTACTACTTTAGGTGTCTAGGTGAGTAATCTTACTCGCCAATTCATGGCTGCTATAACCTGCACTGCGAAGGCTTTGTACAAACAAGCAACAAGTACGTACTAGGAGGATCATTTTCGAGCATATCCACTCCAGACTCTACACAATATGAGAAAACCTTACGTGTTTTCCAGGTCCATAGTCCAGACTACGTAAAAAACATGCATAAAAGCTATTAAATGGTTTTGAATTTTTCAGGACGATAGCTCAAAGAATTGGTGGCTACAAATTGACGGGGAAAGTATTGGATACTGGCCTGCAAGCCTTTTTCAATCTCTACAGAATGGTGCTGAGACATTGGAAGCTGGCGGTGAAGTCTGCTATGATAAAGAAAGTGGAGTAAGACACACAAAGACTGGTATGGGAAGTGGAGAATTTCCATCCCAGGGATATCTTAAAGCTGCATACCAGAGAAGAATACAGTACCTGGATTCCAATGGAGTAATGCAGCCAGCAATTGGGATGAAAAGTGGAGCTGAAGTACCTAAATGCTACACTGCTACTAGTGTTGCTGCTGACAAGGGAGATGACTGTGGTGCATATTTCTTCTTTGCAGATTTTATGACATTTTGAGAATTCGTTGCAGACAAGCAAGAAAATATAAAAGGATGTAGTCCCGCTTTTAGATCAAGACAATCTGAAAAATTCTCCATCAAGAAAGGGCATTCCAGCTCCAGGCCTCTACCACCGAACTATACAAATGCCGCTCAATCAATGCTACAACATGATAAATTAGTACCTGAATCCAAGCAAAAGGTCATTAACTTGCTCTATCCTTAACATCTTCGGGTCATGCCTGCACTGCAACACACCCGTGAAAGACTCCCTGATTTGGCAAAACTAATCTCACTATGTTCGATTAGCATCCTCAAGAATAGCTCCTTATGGCTTCAATGCTACCAGCTGTACGGGCATTTGCGGCCCGCACGGGAGATCTTTGACGCATGGTTGTCTTCTTACGCCGGTAAGAAATCACTTCCTTGTTGGCATTTTTCTCTAGCTTGCTCTTTAAGAACAGTTTGCTACATTGCTGCTGGAAATCATCGGCCCACTTGGCGCAAATAGAAAAAAAAACTAACATTGTTTCTGTGATCGTGTGAAAACGTGGTAGACACACAGCACTTTCTTTTTACATGAGAACGGGACACGGCTCTCCACGCGGGCAGCTGATCGAGACTGCCATATCGACACTCCCACTCTGGCTCGTTCAGCTGGGAGGATGGATTAGACTACCCCTCCCACTCAGCCGAAGCAGATGGAGAGCAGACTCCCAATGCAGAACGATGGTGCTCAAAGGGAGCGTGAGCCAAGAACCTTCGTGAGAATGTCAGCGCAATATTGCAGCAGCAGCTTTTCATTTTGAACTTGCTCCCGCATGTAGTGGAAGCGTATTTCAATATACTTCACGCGGGAATGGAAGCGCAGATTTGCCGTCACCGCAAGGACGCTTTGGCTGTTGGAGAACACCACCAGAGGCTTGGAGCAAACAGGAATTTGTGGCAGGTTGCTACAGAACTGGGTGAGCCAGATTCTTTACAGTGGTTAGAGCAATATACTCAGCCTCAGCTGGCGCTTACTGCTCTAGGACACTACCCTGAGGTAGATCTTCTCCAGGAATTGGGAAACCAGGTCAAATATACGAGACTCCCCACATCTTTGATTTTATGGCACGGTAGCCATGTAATCTTATTCTTTATCCGTGACAAGCTCAACTTCTTTTTTATCTCGTCCAACAAGTGGCGAGTTTTTGCACCGAGAATGCAGTTGTTCACGGACACTGGTGCCAGGAGGAAATCATCTCCAAGCTTGTAAAGGTACACATTCCTTTCCACGGCAAGAACACAGCCCAGGCCTTGGGAGAACACGTCAATGTACTCGAACCAGACCTGTGGGGATTGCATGAGCCCATAGAGGGGGCGATTCAGCTTGCAAACCAGGTGTTCCTCACCAAGTTTGATAAATCCAGGTGGTTGTGCAATGTAAACATGCAGGAAAGCTGTCCCGATGTCCATCTAGGATTTTGCTGAATCCCCGTGCAACGAAGCGTGGTTTGTTTTTTTTGTTTGTTTGCAACGACAGGGCTTATACTTCACCGTGAAGATCCACTTCGAGCTCACCCAGCAGGTAAGGTGGTCTTTGTTTTTTTTCTCATGCGAATGCATTTCAGCATTCATGGCTTCTCGCCACTGAACAGCATGAGGTCCAGCTAATGCCTCATTTTTATTGTTGCTAAAGAAAAAGAAGGGACGAGAGTCCTCAGCTTTCAGTTGAAGCTGCGAAGGAACAGGAACTCGAGTAGAGCGCCATGGTTCAGGTCGAGCTGGAGGCTAAATCACCAGGGAGAAGGTAGGAACCACGTAACCACCACCAAGAGCAAGAGGCAGCAATGGGACTTGAGAAGGAGTGAAGTCCACCAGCTGGAGTTCCACAAAAGTAAGAGCAGGAACTTCAGCATAATCCTTGTACAGTTACTCTCTTTCCAGCAGAGTCTTACGCTTGAGAGAATAACCCTTCTAAATATCCCAGGATGAAGGTTCAACCTTTGAATCCAGCTTGTGATGCTTCTTCTTTGGGATATGAGTGTAGGCAAAGCATCCAAAGATGCGTAGATGTCCTCTTTAGTTTCCTTTAAAAAATTTAAGATAACTTAAAAGGGGGTTAATGCAAACAGCCTTTTCCTTCAACCAAAAGGTCCAAATCAGTATATAATTAGGGTTACATTGAATAACCCTTAAGGAAAATTACAAAATGAATTGCAGTTATTGTCATTCTTCAGACTTGTTCTTACAAGGTTCAAGCACTAGTGGGAAATATCAAGAGGTGTTGTATTGTAAACATTGCAACAAGCTATGCTGGAAAGGTGGCCAGAAGAAAGTTGAGGAGCTACACAACTCGTTTAAGTTGGTTTTGCAAGACTTGAATAAATGTCCTCCAGTGACAAATAAATCCTTGGTTTTGTTCTAAGATGGCCAAGTGATCACTTTGGCGCAAAATCTTTTAGATTTTAGAGATTTTCTTGAGCAATTCGTACAAACATCAAAGTTCCCCATTAGGGAGCTCAAAGAAACAAAATATTCCATTATTTTGCCATGAAACATAAGATTCCCATTCCATTTCCATTTACTCATTCCACCTTAAAACAATAAAAAATATAGTGGGATTTCAATTGTCTTTCTGTTTTGATTGTTAGCTTGGACCTCGTAGCATCAAGTTGACGCTTACAACGATCAAAAGAGTTTCCTTTAGTTGGCTTAGCAAAGAAAAACCGCGTTTACCTGGACAAACGTATAGGCCAAAGCAGTCGCAAAATAGAAGCTAACATTTCCTGTTCCAGAAGGGAAAAAAAAATGAAAAAGGGACAGAAAAAAAAAGAAGGAAAAAGAGTATATTACCCTCCAAATCCATAGCTCCAACGAAATGAAGCGTACTTGAAATCTGCAAACATAAATTCTATAAACCTGTGATCCAAATCGAAAAAAATTACTCAAATACAGACCAGAGAGCTCGTAAGTGAAAAGGCCCATTGAGTCCCAAATACGAGCAACACAATATATAAATGCTTAATTTGCAAGGAGGAGAAGTCTCACCGATAGGTAGTCGACACAACCGCCATTAAAGTAAAAGAAAGGAAAATCGGCCAGTGATAGAAACATAGAGATAGTGGTGCTATCCTGCAAACTATGTTGCCACTAAAGTTTTCAGAATCTCTGAAAACCTTCACGAACGTTCAAAGGGAAAAGCTCTGGAGCTTTTGCCTGTGGTCAGCCGTCTGGTCATCTTGTATACTGGGATTGTGTAACCCGATTCTTTGTCACGATGGTACATAGTTCTGTTGTTTTCTTATCGTTGGGGCTTGTCTGAAGCAATCTTAAAAATAGACGCAAGGAATTAGACTTGCAAGATCGGAAGTGCGTTAAAATGCCGAAATCAACAGGAAAACAGGATACATTGCGAAGTGTGAAGCCATGACCCATGCAAAAGCAGCAAGCAGAGCATTTCCAGCATAGAAAAACTATGGTTTAGCAAGAAAGAAAATTAATTCCAAAGTGTGATATGCCGCACCTTCTAATGAAGCATAGGGAGCCAAGCATACAACGAAGACGACGTCGATCCTCCAACATAGACAAGACTGTGAAGGGATTGAAAAGAACTACCTCTCCAGTGTCAAGAGTTTCACCTGTAAGAAAAAGCCCGAAAAAGCGTCGAATAAGTAATTCTAAGGTTCCAATCTTACTTTTCTCCTGCCTTTGGAAGGTAGTGGCAGCTCCAGAAGACGAGTGTAGTGATTGTGAACAGCAGAGAGACGTTTTCCAATGAGAATTATCAACAGAATCCGAAAGAAGAAAAACAATGGGGCTATCACACAGAGACAACGTTGGCTTTCGCTTGAGAAAAACCTTGACGATGTCCTCTCACCTATTTGCACCAAGTGGGCCTATGATTTCCAGCAGTATTGGAGATCCATGGTAAACAGATCCTAGATAAAAGTAGCAAATTGTTCTTAAAGAGCAAGCTAGAGAAAACCGGTGATTTCTTACCGGCATCAGCTCTTGAGCCATGCTCCACTGCAAAGATCTATAAAAATGTAGCTCATCCGCATCAAAACGGGACTAGTGACCGGAGTAGCGATTTCCAGAGATCGGCTGAGCCTTGCGGACGCGCCTGAAGTAGAAGCAGCATTGTGATCCTGGCGAGCGTCATTCCACCCCATAGCGGCGACGGTCTCCTCCCTGGAAATCCAAGGCACAGATGCCCGTGTTGGGATATACGCGGTAATCATGGTTGTCCAGATGAGATTCTTGTCGGACATTCCATTGAAGAATATCTTGGCATCTTCGAGGCTTCCAGTAACAAGAGTATCATCCATGACACGGCTGTGTGCTGGGGCATTGAACCGATGAGCTTTGCCAAATCAGGGATGCCTGTTGCAGCGCAAGAATCACCCCATTGAATTTATCAGAATTTTTTGGATTGTTAGCAAATACACCTTTGCATTTTTCAGGCACTGCCAGGGCCTCCAAAGAAGAAATATGCCCCATTCATAGCCGAGACACTAGTAGCAGTATAGCATTTAGGTGTTTCAACTTCTCTTTTCATCCCAACTGTTGGCTGCATCGCACCACTAGAATCCAGGTACTGTATTCTTCTCTGGTATGCAAATTACCATATCCCTGGGATGGAAATTCTCCACTTCCCATATCAGTCTTTGTGTGTCTTGCTCCAATTTCTTTATCATAGTAACTTCCAAAGTGTCATTCTGTAGAAATTAGAAAAGATTTGCAAGTCAGTATCCTATAGTTTCCCGTCAATTTTGTAACCACCAATTCTTTGAGCCATCGTCCTGAAAAATTCAGCCAAGGCTTAAGCAACAAATACATACTAGGAGGAACATTTTCGAGCGTATCCACTCCAGACTCTACACAATATATGAGATAACCTTACGTGTTTTCCAGGTCTAGAGTCTGTACAGGTTATAGCATCCAGTATTTATGTAGCCATCGGCCTGTCAAATGTTGACAATTCTTATAAAATGTTTTATTACCAATCTGATTTACTGTCCAGTAGACAAAGAGTCGAGGTCCACTTCCTCAAGGTTCAGTATAGAAACACTTGAATTTCCACATACCTGCCATCCTGCTTCAATTGTGTTCACTGGGCCTAATTTGTTTGAGGTGATCCACAACTGCGCCAGACTGAACTCGGACGTTTGTTCCACGTATGGCTCCCAATCATTTCTAGTTGTTTCCATCTCTTTAAAGTTGCCGTTCAACTTGTTGTAGCCATGCTGTTGTGATCATGCAAAGTATCGTCAACTCTTGAGAGTTGTGCTCAGATCCAGGTTCTTCATCAGCCAATGGCACTCGATTTTTTCCATAGGAATTTTTTATGATTAGCTGAACCAAATCTTGTGGCTATGGTATTCGAAGTTTGCAACACCGGTATTGTGTTTTTCTTGCACGATCCAACTTCTAGACCAAACAGCTGACCAGAATTTTCTGATCGATTGTGCTCTTTTTTGCTCATCATTTGAGGGGCCAAACGAGGAATGCTGCACAACTTACCAGAAGCTGCAGCGTCTGGTTTCTTAGAGACAGTTGGTTTTTAATTGGGACGCAGAGGATGATGTCTCCATTTGATAACTGCAAATCGGAATCTATGTGTTCACAAGGGTTTGAAAAAGAGGAAACAAACCGTATGATTTGTGAAAAACGGAGGAGTCACGTCTCAGAGAAAATCTCTCATCTCCTCATTGAGATCTGCTGCTGCGTAAGAATGTAAGAAGCATACCATCAGCAGCAATGCTTCTGTTTCTGACATTCTTCGAAGATGACAAAAGTAATGAAGGGAGAATTTGTAGATCGATGAGGGTCGCAATATCTTCTTCGTAACTTGTGTACTTGGAAATCAAAGAAGACAAAACTGGTCTATCGTCAATCTTTCCAGCATGGGTCTTCTTGCGCCCTCAGATTTCTGACTGTGGAACCCCAGAAACGTTCCGTGCAGGTGATTTACCTCAAGCATTCAAGCTATCAAACCAGTCTATACGGAACGTTTCTGAGGTCCATCCATCAACTTTGGCCGAAAGAAGTTAACGTGGAGTGTTGTTAAAATTGCACCAAGAAATCTAAGGTCGGTGTTTCATGGCAACATGTTTTGCCTGATAACACCACTGTCTATATACTTCTATCACCTACCGATTTTCCTTTCTTTTATTTTGATGGCGGTTGTCTACCCATCGGTATGCCAACTTCTATTTTGCGACTGCTTTGGCCTATGCGTTTCTCCAAACGGGGTTTTTCTTTGCTAAGCCAACTAACGGAAACACTTTTGATCGTTGAAAGCGTCAACTTGATGCTACGACAATCAAAACAGAAAGACAATTGAAAACCCGCTTGATTTACTATATTTTTATTGTTTTTAAGTGGAATGAGTAAATGGAAATGGAATGGGAATCTTATGTTTCATGGCATAAGCAAAAGAATGGAATATTTTGTTTCTTTGAGCTTAAGATAAAGATAAAACTTTAAGAATTGAACTAACTTAAAAGGGGGTTAATGCAAACAGCCTTTTCCTTCAGCCAAAAGGTCCAAATCAGTATATAATTAGGGTTACATTGAATATCCCTTAAGGAAAATTACAAATTGAATTGTAGTTATTGTCATTCTTCAGACTTGTTCTTACAAGGTTCAAGCACTAGTGGGAAATATCAAGAGGTGTTGTACTGTAAACATTGCAACAAGCGATGCTGGAAAGGTGGCCAGAAGAAAGTTGAGGAGCAACATAGCTCGTTTAAGTTGGTCTTGCAAGACTTGAATAAATGTCCTCCAGTGACAAAGAAATCCTTGGTTTTGTTCTAAGATGGCCAAGTGATCACTTTGGTGCAAAATCCTTTAGAGATTTCTTGAGCAATTTGTAAGATCGAAGCCACTATCCCAGCTGTTCCATATCCTAGTGTGTGATTCGCATGAGTGACTCCTCCGAGGGCAAACCTTTGCTGAGAGTGACTCTTTCGACACACAGGCAGGGCAAATCTTTGCTGAGATGGTGAAGAAGGATCTACAAGGCTGTCAGAGGGATTTTGGTCGCTAGAACCATATACCACATAAGGATTGTACAAGAGAAACACACGAGGTAACAAACATTCAAGAGCTGACAATTGATCACAGATACAATGAGCTTTTTGGAAACAAGTATAAATGTCTGGGAGCTATACGCGGAAAAAACTTCGGAGTTCAGTTTAGCACAATTATGAATCATTTCGAACAAATCAAGCCCGTTGAACACAATTGAAAGACATGTACACACTTCTTTTTACTTGAACCTTTCTTGAAGATTTATCCTGAATTCTATGGAGGAACAGGACCTCGACTCTTTGTCTGCTGGAAGGTAACTCAATGGTCAAAACTTTAGAAAAGCATTGTTATGGCAGGTTGATGGCTGCAAAACTTATCCACTCCAGACTCTGAGAAAACCTTACGATAGCAATTGGGATGAAAAGTGGAGCAAAGGGGGTGCATATTTCTGATTTGGAGGTCCTGGAATTGTGTCTGGGTTTATGATAGAAGCACCGAAATGGGGGGCATTCCGAGAATTGAACTCGGGACCTCTCGCACCCTAAGCGAGAATCATACCACTAGACCAAATGCCCATTAGCAACGTGACTAAGGACTCCACGGTAGAAAATGTGCGATCTAGAATAGAATTTTCTTTTGCCAAAGGACCTCTCACAACCTAAGCGAGAATCATACCACTAGACATTAGCGGCATGATTAATTCTCAACATCGAATTTGATTGACAAAGCATTGATGGTTAGTTTGGAAACGAGGCTGGATAGACGCGAGTGCCTGAGCCTTATCGCCTCGTGCAAGACACTCTCACAAGCCAAGCTTGTCCACTCTCGAATCGCCTCCGCTTTTGTAAACCTCTACACCACCGATGCCTTCCTCTGCAACAAGCTCGTGGAGCTGTACGGCGCTTGCGGCAGCCCGGGCCTCGCGCGGGCGATCTTCGACCGCACAGCGCACAAGGACTCCTTTACGTGGGATTTCATGCTCAATGCATACGCGCGAAACGGGCATTTGGAAGAGGCCAAGCAAGTGTTGGAGTCCATGCCACAGTGGAGCGCCATTTCCCACACGATTATGCTCGAGGCATATGCCAGGAACGGGCATCTTGCCGAGGCGCGGGAGATGTTCCAGAATATTCGCTACCCGGACGTGGCTGCCTGGAACTCGATGCTTGCCGCATATGCCACTAATGGGCATCTTGATATAGCGTTACGCGTGTTCGATTCCATGCCCCAGCGCACAGCCGTGTCGTGGACGATACTCCTGTCGGCTTGCGCCCACACCGGAAACCTCAAAGATGCCAAGATATTCTTTGATGGAATGCCTGACAAGAATCTCATCATCTGGACAACCATGATCGCTGCATATTCCCAAAACGGGCATCTGGGAGATGCCACAGCACTCTTTGATTCCATGCCCGTGAGGAATATCCTGTCATGGACGAGCATGCTCACGGCCTACGCACAAGCTGGCCAGCTAGACAGCGCACGGAAAATGTTCCAGGATATTCCTCACCACGACGTGGTATCTTGCACAGCGATGCTGGGTATATATGCCCAAACGGGGCGTCTGGAGAAAGCAAAGGGTATCTTTGACTCGATGCCCGAGAGGGACATTGTGACGTACAATGCCATGCTTACCGCGTACGGACAGGCCGGGGATGTGGCCATGGCTACCCACACGTTTCGTACGATGCCACAGCACGACCTGGTCTCGTGGAGTACGGTCATTTCTTTGCTTACCCAAACTGGGGATCTGGAACATGCCAAGAGAATGTATGAAATGATGCCTTTGCAGGACCTTATCTCGCAAACTATCTTGCTAAGCTGCTACAGTCAACACGGGAATCTTAAAGATGCGAAGAAGGTGTTTGACCAGATGCCGGCACAGAATCTAGTCTCCTGGAACAACATGCTCTCTGCATATACCCAGAGAGGGTATATTCGAGATGCAAAGTCATTGTTCGATTGGATGCCACAGAAGAATCTTTTGTCTTGGAACATTATGTTAAACTCAAAGTTACAAAATGCTCGTCTTGAAGAAGGAGTGTCAATGTTCCTGACAATGCCGGAACGCGACCTTGTATCGTGGAACTCTCTGCTGACTGCATTTACCCAAACCGGGGATTTTGAGATGGTTAAGAAAACGTTTGCTGAGATGCCCGACAAGAACTTGATCTCCTGGACGACGATGTTGTCCGCCCTCTCGAGAAACAATCTCCTCCACGATGCAAAAGCTATGTTTGATCGAATGCCTGAGCAAAACCAAATGAGCTGGAACACAATCACGGTGGCATTTGCGCAGTCTGGACGGATCAAACAAGCCGCCAGTCTCTTCCTTCGTATGCCCGAGAGAGACATCGTCTCCTGGAGCGCGATGCTTGCCGCATATACCCAATCTGGGCATTTCCATGTCACACTGGAGATGTTCTACGCTGCGAGGATGGAGCTCGAACCCGATGGAGCTTGCTTCGTTCCAGTGCTCGTCTCTTGCAGCCGGACAGGCAAAGTTGGCGACGCAAGGTGTTTGTTTGCATCCATGGCGCAGGATCACGGACTGGATCACTCGAGGCAGCATTACTCGTGCATGGTTGATCTCCTTGCGAGAGCTGGGCATTTGGAGCCGGCTCGAGATCTCATCACAAACATGCCCTTCGTGCCGGATCTCTTGGACTGGACTTGCTTGCTGGGCGCTTGCAAAAGCTTTGACGACGTCGAGCGTGGGGGATTTGTTGCGAAGAATGCCTTTAAGTTGGATCCCGGCTACACTTCCACGTACTCTTTACTGTCAAACATGTATAAATCGAAATCTCTTTGCGCGTAAACGCTCTCGAAAGATAAAACTATCTTTCAATCCAAGTATCATACCATAGGTCTTGAAACTTTACATGAAGAAGCATCTTATCTTAGCCGTTGAGCGATGTTGGTCAACGGGAAAATAAGAGACCACACATTCAAAGCCCAGAGCTCGGTCAAGATCAAACGCTCGCGTTGCTCCCTCTCGCTATGGCGAGCCCAGTCCATTCCACAGCACTGCTCACAAGAAAGCTAGCTTTTACACTCTCCTTTCCTTCGTCTAGTTCTTCCTTCCTAGCGGGACGCGGAGTCTGGACGCAACCTGGCTTCTCCCATCAAAACCACGAAAAAGAACAAAGAAATTCACCAGTCGATCCAGCTCTAGGTTTTAGCTTGATTGGTTTCGTTGCCTCTCGTCCAGGATGATCCCCAGCTCCAATTCCCAGCTGCTACTGCTGCTGGCGCTGCTAACTCTCTCCTCGGCCGCGACCCAAGGAAGTGTCCCTGGAATCTATCTCGTCACTGATGAAAAAAACAGCACCAAAAACGCGTCAGGCATGGCGATGATCCAGCCAGACTACCTGAGAGGAGGAATGGCAGACAGCGCTTGCGGCGACGTCCAAACTCCTTCACGACGCGTCTTGCTCGAGGAATCCATGAAGACCTCGCTCAAGATGGAGCTCAAGCACAGGGATCACGGGCAGCCCACCAGGAACAGGAGGTCGCTGCTGCTGGAATCGCTCAAGCGAGACATCACTCGCCTCCAATCCTTCCAGAAAAGAGTGAGTGAAAAGCTTACGGCCAGCGCCAATCCAGAGGCTTACCTGGAGATGACGAACTCCAGCTCCACGAAATCACCTCCATCGCCATCGTCTTCGTGGGAAGAAGTCGACTCCACCGTGGAGTCCGGGGCGGAGCTTGGAGCTGGCGAGTACTTCATGGACGTGTTCGTGGGAAATCCTCCGCGGCACTTCCTCCTCATCATCGACACTGGCAGTGATCTCACCTGGCTCCAGTGCAAGCCCTGCAAGGCTTGCTTCGACCAATCCGGCCCGGTGTTTGATCCATCTCAGTCCACTTCCTTCAAGATCATCCCTTGCAATGCCGCGGCCTGCGATCTAGTCGTCCACGACGAATGCCGCGATAACTCCTCCAAGACTTCTCCAAAAACTTGCAAGTACTTCTACTGGTATGGCGATTCCTCGCGGACGTCGGGGGACCTGGCGCTGGAATCACTGTCAGTGAGCCTCTCGGATCATCCCTCGTCGCTGGAGATCCGGGACATGGTGATCGGCTGTGGCCACTCCAACAAGGGGCTGTTCCAGGGCGCTGGCGGGCTTCTCGGGCTAGGCCAGGGAGCTCTCTCCTTCCCATCCCAGCTGCGATCTTCGCCAATCGGCCAGAGCTTTTCCTACTGCCTCGTCGACCGGACCAACAACCTGAGCGTGAGCAGCGCCATCAGCTTTGGCGCTGGATTTGCCCTCTCCCGGCACTTCGATCAGATGAGATTCACGCCATTCGTGAGGACGAACAACTCGGTGGAGACCTTCTACTACCTTGGAA